GTGAGGTCCCTGTTCCCTCTCACCCAGCCGTAGTCTTTTAGACTATCTTTTCCATTCAAGGCTCAACACTTCACAGAATCACAGAATTGTCTAGGTTGGAAAAGATCTTGAAGATCATCCAGTCCAACCATTGACCTAATACTGACAGTTCCCAACTACAACATACCCCAAGCACTGAGTCGACCCTACTCTTAAAACACTGCCAGGGATGGGGACTCCACCACCTCCTTGGGCAGCCCATTCCAACATCTAACAACTCGTTCTGTAAAGAAATGCTTCCTAATATCTAGTCTAAACCTTCCCTGGCACAATTTAAGGCCATTAACTCTTGTCCTATCACTTACTATTTGGTTACAGAGACTCATCCCCAGCTCTCTGCACCCTCCTTTCAGGGAGTTGTAGAGGGCCAGGAGGTCTCCCCTCAGCCTCCTCTTCTCCAGACTTCATTTCACATCCCCATGCTCTCAGGTTCAGCACCTCTGCTCTCTTACAGCTTTTCCATAAAGGCAATGCTAGCCCTGAGCACTGTACAAGATCTCACGGAAGAAGCCACACCGTTTTGGAAAGTCCCACAGGTTGGTTGAAGCAAGGCAGAAAAAAATAAAAGTGCTTTGACATGTCATCATGGTTGCCTTGTCCACAGGGATGATCAGCAGTGGGCTCAGAAGTGACCCAGGGCAAACCAAAAGCAGTTCTCTGAGGCATTTGTCCTGAGTAACAACTATGGGTATTTTAAGGAAAAGACTAAGGAACACCTGTTTAAATAATGGTTAAGATGTGGAGTTAAAACTCAACCTGAGTCAGTAAGGAATGCACTGCAGGTCCCGCTCTAGGGGCTGGAGGACAATAAATAATTCAGCACCTGCCCTACTTTACCACCCTGGACAAGAGGAGTCAATGCTGGTCAGGCTGGGAATGTCCAGTTACTCCAGCAAATCAGTCCCAAGAGCCCTGGCTAAGAGCCACCACACACATCCCTGAAAAGCCCTCCCAACTTTCCAGTACTGCCCTGCCAATTCATCTGCCTGCACGCACTGGCAGCAGCGAGGTCTAATCCCCGACACAAGGCAAGGGCAGCCCTGCAGAGAGGACCTCCTGGCTCTGTCCCGGCAGGGCATGGCAGCTGCCGAAGGGAATTGCTGCTCTCTAGGTCGGGACTGACACCAGGCCCACACAGGGCAGCTCACACCCCGCTCCCCTGCGCCCTTTCACGCTCAGGCTGTGTCACCTGCTCTGATGGGACACAGAGATGCTGGCTGTGTTAGAAGGGTACATCAAAACCTTCGCTCTCCTCTATGCCTTCTTCACAAAGGGTAAGGGAATTCTTCCCCAACATGCAACCAGGGATCTCTTCCCTCACACTAGCCACTTCACAGACGAGCTTTTCCCACCACCATCTCACATGCTTGAAACACTAATCTAGGAGGTAACTGAGATTAAAGGGACACAGAGAAAGAGATGAGCAGTCTCAAGGGCCAGCCAGGAGAGGAGCCGCCCTGCTTGCTTCCTTTTGATCTCCGCAGAGAACACCACGGAGCTGCCCTTCTCTTTTGATGTGTCACCCTGCAGCTTGTTCTCTCGCAGGAGGGCAGGCCTGTTGCAGCATGACTGCACCTGGATTTCAGCTGCTGGGGTAACAAAGCTGCATTTCAGCAGCTTCTATGCATTTCACAGACTTCAGAGTCTCTGGGTTGACCCAGGGGTGGAGGGGAACTGAGAAGGCCGAGAAGGGACACCACCCTCAGACTCAGCTCTAACTAAATCCTTGTCACTCACACAGAAGGCACATAAAATGCTAGCCTAACAATAAAACAGAATTAATTACTATGGAATCATGAAGCACTTCACACCAGGGAACGGAGCAGAGGATCTGCAGTGCCAGGTCTAATCTTCAGCCCACCATATATATCAGATTAAAGGGGCTTTAGTCAATTAGAAGGGCACTTAACTAAAGCACATTCTGCTACAAAAACAGGAGTAAGATAGCTCCTCACCTTCCCTGCTTCACAGCAAGGTCTCCACACTACAGCGATGGGGTTTAAAAAGCTCTACTGCTCTGAAAACATTATCACTCAAAATAAAACCTCCTGCTCAGAGTCAAGCTGCTCTGTGAAGGATCCCAGGATGGAGTGGTTTTGTTGCAAGTCGGGATAAAAATCCAGGCAGCTGATAATAAGCATTTTATAAGCCTGATCTACAACCGATTAAACTCAGATTGTCTGGTCATAACAGATCAGGTCTGTGTAGCATTTTGGATTCACTCAAGGGCTTATCAGACCAGCTGTCAGGTTACACTTCCCAGTGAAATAAAGAGTGCACGTCACCGGTCCAAGGAAAGGAGCAGCTCGCCCAAGTTCTGCGGTGACAAGACTAAGAAAGGAACCCCTACAGCCCAACCTAGAACAACAGCCTTTTAGACCTGAGCACCTTCAGTTCTTGTCAGAGCATTATAAGCATATCCCAACCACAGATCATGACCCCAAGCTTTCCTCAAACTCAAGACCCCTTTGGAATCCAAACCTAGTGTGTGACCCAGATCTAAGGTAACAAGGGCACTCCCACATAAATAAATCCAAGAAACTCAAGCTTGAGTTGATAAGAGGATTGGTGGCAAAGCTTCTGCCCAGAATACTCCAAGGGGTTTTTGTGCAAAGATCTGTGGGAAACCAAACCTGCCATCCATGTTAGCACAAGCGAATCCAATGAGAACACTGAGGTGCCTGTAATGAAACCCTGAAGACTAAAGCAGAGGCAGGACAAGCTTCCCACATGGCATTTATCTATTTATCAATTTGTCCACTAGGTCTAGAGAGACTGCGCCTAAGCCTGGGACACTCGAGGAGACCATTCTTGCCCAGATATCAAACTTAAGTGGACATGGGTAAGCTGCATCCATTTCCGTAACCAACAGGGCAGCTAATGCTGCTGGGAAGAGCTCATCTGTTTGATCCCCTCTGACCTCCCCGGCTCACCAAACGCTCCTCACTTGCGACAAGGCCAAATAGGACCAGCCTTCAGCACACGTCCAGAGCAAACCTCAGACTCACACTTCGGATCTGTGGTTGCTTTTCCCACCAAGCACCCTCAACTCTGCCAAAAGGGCTCTGTCTCCTCACACCACCAGCTCACCCACCAAATCAAAACTTTGCGAGAGAACTGGCTCACACCTGGTAGAGAAAAGACATCATGTGTTTGGTTTGTGGCTGTTTTTTTTCTCAGGGTTCCACACCGCCAGAAACCAATGCCCATATTTCCATGGGCTGACACCTCTCACTTTTCTCCTTTAATTCACAGGCAGCAAAGTGCCAGGAAGAACAGGAATAAACTTGCCCTCAGCTGAGCAAAGGAAATCCGAAAATCTGCAGCTTCTGCCGTACAAGCTTGTAGTGACAAGCTGCTGGGTTCCCAGCTAGAGGAAGCTGCTATGGGAGCAGACATGTTGCTGCCAACTCTCAGTTCCTAAACTTAATTCCTCCACTCTTGGGCCGGTCACACGTTCTGGGGAAAGTTGAATTAAACCATTTTTTAACCCATGTCACCATTTAGAAATGCCGATGAACAGCATCTGCAAGGCTGTCAATACATACATGCCTAAGAAGGAAAGCAGACAGCAGGGAGATAGGTGCTTACAACAGCCTTTTGCTCTGGCAGCTGTCAGCATTCAGCTGATAAAATTACTGCTGTTGCACCATATTTATGCACTAAACTTTCCCCCACTGAGCACATCTCTTGTACTCATCCAGCACAAGAATCTAGGAAACAGCAAACTGCCTCTTAGCATAAGCAAGAGTTAAAATTAAGAAAAATTTTATAATACTAAAAAAAGGACCTCTCATTGACTCCATCTAAATCTTACTTTCTACAGAGGCTGGAAGCAACTGCAGAATCATCCAGAAACTGGAACCTCCAAGTTCTCAGCCCCAACTTTGATGCTAGCTTACGCAGGGCTAGATGCTTCACCTCTTCTACCTAGATTTTTCCATCCAAGGAAGGGGGATAATTAGCTGCAACTTGCTACACAGCAGTGGCACGAAACTTAATTAGTCAGAGCACTTTGAAGGTATGGTACCTAATTAATATCTGCAATGGCTGCAGTGATTATTATGAACAATGGCACAGCTCACAGCTGATGATACAGCTCAGCTCATCAGTATTTTTCATTCTCAAAAGTGCTGTGCAAACACACAGCCAATATTCCACATCAGAAATCCCCACAGTGGTGGGTGGTTATCAGCCTCGTTTGGTGGACAGAAAAACTGAGGCAAGGTCTGATGGAGCCCAGCAACAATCACAAACCACAGAGCATGGGAACTCCGTACTTGCTGCGGGGATGGAACAGGCAGCAGTTTCACAGTCCCATCACTGTACCCTGAACCTTTTGGGTCTGTTTGGAAACACTCAGCTATACGTGCTCTGTGCAGGCATGGAATTTAGTGTGCTCCTGTAAGCGACCATAGGGTTGGAGCTTTGAAGGGGAGAAAGAGCAAGAAGCATCCCTTAACTAACACAAATAACGTGGCACAGGACAGCTACGGGTCCTACACACCAGCACAGGCCAATGCCACATGCTCCCGACTGAGCAGTGGGAGCACAGAGCCTCCCCCCACACCCCCAGGGAAGCTGCATCTCCCTGGTTTTAGCAGCAGCAACCACCACCAGGTTGGCCCCATCCCTGGATCATGGAGTTGAGGAGCGAGCAGTACTTTCAGCACAGAGGCCTCTGCACCTTCCCAGAGATCAGGTACCCCAAGCCCTGCCAGGGTAACCACCCCCAGAACTCACACAAGGAAGGGGCATCTTCATTTTGCCAGCTGCACGATGAACAATTACCAAGCAACTCTGCAAAGTGCTCTCAGCACAGGAAGGGTTGATTTTAACCCTCATCTTTATGTTCATTCTGTCCTGCCTTCAGGAGACCTGGGAACATATTTTAGGCACATTGCAAAACGCAGAGTAGAGTAGATATTAAAAAAAAAAAAATCTCCAGAGAGATCCAAAGGCTCTCTTCTATCACTGTGTCATGGAGCTGGGTTCTCACCTGTCTCATCTCCCAACAGCCTCCTGGAGAGCAACAGCAGTAAGCTGAAAAGAGATTTATTTTTTTTTTCCCCCCTTTCTCTCCTGTCTGCTAAAGGACTGACTCTATTTGAGCTCCTTAGTATGCCAAGAACTGCACAGAGATTTGTCCTGACATTATTTTGAGCTGTATTTGTGGCAATATCCAAAGGACAAAAAACTAAACACACTGCTGTGCCAAAGCCAAATGGAGCTAATTTTGGAGCTCAGCCATTTCTGAGACAGTGGGACATATTGATATTAGCAATTTAGTAGTACAGACTTGAGAGACAAATAAGAAGTCATACTGTTATAGACACACTGGGCCAGTTTGCAGGTCTGTACACAGCCAGCCTATAAAGACTGGGGGGGGAAGAAAAAAAAAAAAAAAAAAAACAACCCACAATCTGTCAACAAGCAGCAGCTCAGAAGAATCCCCCAGGCAGATACTGGTCTATCACTTAGTGTACAAGGAACGTAAAACAGGGTCTCTTTAAAGAGGAAGGTCATTCTAGATGGGTGCAGGGGACGTCTCCTGGGTGTAACTCTTTGGGTTGTCTGCCTTCCTAGCAACTGTTTATAAAATTTTTCACAGGCAAGTGGGTAAATCCCCAGAGAAAAATGAAAGGCAAGAAACCCTATTCACCCCTTTAAACTTGTGCACTGAACAGATAAGTCCAGGTCTATTTTATAAATATTTCAAAGTTCAAAGAAAACAGCAACTAATATTGACACAACCCAACAGAAACATCCCAAAGGGGAAGACTAGGTTGCACGATACTCCAGTGCCACCAGCTGCACAGGACAGGAAAGAGCAGCTAAGCAGAACGAAAGGGGAGGCTGAGCTGCCTTGGCAGCCCTGGGTGAGCCACCACACCTCGAGTCAGCAGAGCTTACTGTAGATTATAATGAATGCCAGACGAGGTGCTTAATTATCAAAGTGACAAATGTTCTATATAAACTGCAAGAGAGATCAGGCACTTGGGTGAACCCTCAGGAAAACACATGACAGATTGGTTCTCCCTTCGCTCCCACAGGGATAGGGAAATCAGTCCAGACTGAAATGTCCTCTTTAAGAAAATTAACAGCCACCACCACCAGGAAAGGCACGTTTGTCTGCAGCTGAGAAGGCAGAGGAGCTCTCAGGAATCCTGGTGGGACTCCTAAATATTTTCTATGTAGCAGAACACTGGAAGTTTCATTTATGTGAAGAGCCTCAAAGCCTTTCTGTCACTCAGTCCCTTTAAACACACGTACATACACACACACTTTTTTTCACAGGTCTGTCCATGAACCCCAGGGCCTTTTCATCCAGGAGGCTGTGGCCAGGCAGCCAGAGCACTCACACGCTTCACTCTCATCCGAGCTCATTGTGGAGGAAATCAAAGTCTTCCCCGCCACCTCCCTCCACTATCACTGCATGAGCAAATAACAAGGAAGTCCCGGTCAGGACAAAGTAAAACACAATCAAAGTTCCTCTCTGCACCTGCACACAGGCTCACCTGGGCACGAGAACTGCAAGACAAGAGCAGCTCCCAGAGGAATGTCCTCCTGTCCCCTTCCTCTAGTGCTGAGCTCACCTGTCACAACGTTTACAGCACCTACACGGGCTTCCCTCTCACTTCGCAGGAAGCAGTGGAACCCAGAAATTCTTAAGTCATCAGTTATCTTTCCCTTGGTGTCATAGTCTACCCAAGTGAGGTTTTTAATCTGTTTAGACAACACCATCAAAGCATGACTCCTACTTAGTCTCAAAGCTAACAAAACCACTATGTATGAACTAAAGCTCTATTAAACAAGTGAAGTTAAAATATCTTCCTCAAGTTTTCTTTTGATTTTTTTGCTTTAGAAAAATCTTTCTTTAGATTTTACTGAAGAATACACACAAAACCAACTCAGTGAAAGTTGTGTCAAGCTTACCAAAGTCTCATTTGAGCCCATAAACACAACAAAATTATAAACTCAGTTACCTGGGACTGCTTAGGTGTTGAAAACAATATGAACAAAAAGACAGACTAAAAATCCCAACACAGTATTTAGGACAAAATTAAATTATTTTTATTTCAAGGATATATCACAAAAAGCACTCACACTGTTATATACTTAAATGAACCCACGCCCTACCACAGAAATCCCTCACTCCACAGGAAGATCACACCAGTGTCAAGCTCCAGGCAAGCCCCAAGGCAAAGGCACATTGATCACAGCCAGACCAGTATCAGTCACAGAATGGTTTGGGTGGGAAGGGACCTTTAAACACCATCGAGTCCAACCTCCCTCCATGAGCAGGGACATCTTCAACTCGATCAGGCTGCTCAGAGACCCCTCCAGCCTGACTTTGAATGTTTCCAGGGATGGGGCATCCACCACCTCTCTGGGCAGCCTGCTGACCAGACACTCTCCATAACAATCCAGATTGTTCATAGCTGGTAAACCAGGTTATGTGTTTTCCAAGAGCATTTTATACAGAAAACATGATAAGTGGAATAAACAGTGCATCGCGTGGGTCAACAGATATGTTCCCTTTCCTTGAAAAGCTCCAGGGACAAAAAAAATGCATGTTCTCTCTTCTTCCAGGGCATACTCTTGGTACACATAGAAAGCACAGATGTAGCAACTTTGATTTCAAGAGCACTTTCTAGGAACAGCAATCTCAAAACCCACAAGGTAGGTTAAAACTGCCACTGTATTTTGTGGATGGAAAAAAAAAAACCAACAACCAACCACAGAATCACACAGACATTACTTGCCTCAAACTCCCTAGGGAGGTCTAGGCCTGGTCCCAGTAGGGATTTAGGAATTCCTGCATCTGAGCAAACATCTCCTTGCCTCATGACTGCAAGAGGCCATTTGTCAGTCGCTGCTCCTGTTCTGAAGACTCCCTGCCCTCATGATTTGAGCTGTTTGATTTAAAAAGCAGGAGACTTCTGTCCCAGCTGGTGCTCCCAAAGCAACACACCAGCTCCATGGCGCAGTCCTTCGTTAAGATCTGGGTTATCCTCGCGGCCATATCCCCATTGATAGCAAGAGATCGGAAGTGATCAAAGTCGTTTCTGCCCAGCTTCCGCAGGCGGCGCGCGGCCGCCCGGTAGCACTTCCACGGCTGAGGTTCGATCAGCAGGTACCGGCACAGAGAGGAGAGGAAGGACAGGAACTCCAGCAGGCCACTATCCCCATGATTCAGGTGGATCCACATGGTCACAGACATGCAAAAACCAATATCAAAAGTGGAGCGGCCAAAACGGCCCAGGTAGGAGCTCAGGATGGGCTCCCTGGCACTGGGGTCCATGATGTCCAGGTTGGCAAAGGTTATGGAAGCAGGAAAGGGGCTGCACTGCTGAGCCCTCTCAATCAGCACCGGATCAATGTCACAGCACAGAAGGTTCAGATCCTTTCCAGCTGCAGGCTGGTCCAAGCTGCCTTCGCTCTCCTGAAGGCCAAGGAGATGCCTGTACAGAGCCACACTTAGCTCCTGCAGAAAGGAAAACAACAGGGGTTCACGGGGCCTGTGCTGCCTCGTTAACATCACCAAACAGACAGCAGCGAGGTACAAGCGCCAACTCAGAGCTTGCTCTCGATGAAGTTCAGAACAATAAGCTCACCAACAATCCTCCTTTCTGTAGCAAAAAGCATCACAGTAGCCCTGACCACCAGAAAATCAACCAGAGATTGGAACTAAGCCTGTATTGTCCCACACTTGGGGGCTTGCTCCAAAAACTAGGGGAAAGATGAGTTTTAGTAACATGAATCTTGCTGGATATCCCCAACAACATGGGGGTGAAAGCTCTAGTGACACTCAGAGCTATTCATAAGGCCTAATTTAGAGTAATAAATGTCTTCTGCAGCTTAAGTAAAAGACATTCCTTGACCATTTGATTGTAGCACAAGATAGTTAACATGAGAGCTTCCCTTCGAATTTCCTTTCACAGAGTGCACCACTGAGGGGAAAGCGTGTTATTTTTTATTAAAGGAGATCGATGAAATTCCTGAGTGACACTGGCCCGAGCATGCAGCCACACAGGCAGGCAGAGAGTGTCCTCTAGTGGTGAAGGGCTCTGCGCCTCAAGAGAACTGCACGGAGATCAGCTTTCCCTGACCTGTTTTACAAGTTCACCTGAAATAGGATCCGGAATGGTCCTTTAGAGAATGCCTACGGGGAACTTTCAAACCTTCTGGCAGGGGGAAGAGAAACCATAAAAACAGCAGTGCTCTTGTCCCCAACCAGAATGCAATTTCATTCTGAATAAATAATTATTTCTAAGTTAATATATTGTTAAAGTTTCCACCAGAAAAAAAAATTTAAATCTTTAAACATAAACTTAAACACTGCACCAGCACGCATCATAGAAGCACGGATACTTTTGAATTACAACAGAGCAAAGCTGCCCACTGAGGAAAAGCCATGAGGAAAAAAGAACTAGGTAAAGAAAGAGAATGAATGAGAAATGGGAAGTTCTACAAGATTCACCAGCTCTGTCACAATATTTTCAAGAGCATGTGACCAGGATTTTAGGTTTAAGTTCTGTCTCATGGATAACTGATGTGATACTACATGATACCCAACAGTTTCTAGTTTCAGGCTCGTCCAGTTCGCCTGCTCTCAGGGCAGCCCTACAGCAGCTCTCTGGTGCTCAGGACATGCAGCAACCCAGGGCACTGCAGGCTGAGGCCTCAGTGGGAAAGAGGACAGACCTGCCAACACAGCTCAACCAACTCTGCCCCACCCCTGCCTTTACCCCAACCTTTCACCCTCCTCTCACAGCAGACCTGCAGAGGAGCGTCCCACACACCCACGACCTCCTGACCCCCACAAGTCTCACACTGTACCCAAGTCCTGCTTTCCCACTGTGCCTTTGACACAGGCTCACCCCTGCCACATGCTGCCACCCCAGCCCTGGCCATTCCAGGCTGTTCCATTGCTCCCCAGCCCCCCAGGTCAGCACTGCCCCCAGCCTTCCCCGCTGTTCCCCAGAGCTCCAGGCCACTGCCCCCACCTCATCTTCTCAGGCTGCCCCATTCTTCCCACGGGAGTGCCTCCTCCAACCTTCCCTCCAACACCACAGGCCGCTGCCTGCCCCGGCCTCCCCACTCAGCCCCAGTGCCCCCAACACTCCCCACCTTTCCCATCTGCCTCCCAACACCCCAGTCTCCTCCATCACCTCACTACCTCAGGTCACTGCCTTTCCCAGTTTTCCCCGGTGCCCCTCTCCCAGGCCCCATGACCAGCACCCACTTACCATAGTAAATATAATGGCACCAAGCAGAGCGTAGATTGCGTGGAGCCAAGGGACCTAAAGGAAACAAATCCATCAGTCAGTGCCTGGGAGAAAACTGGTTAATTAGGACTTGACACAGAAGAGGGTTTAGCTCTCGTGTGGAGGATACAAGTTAGGGAAAGTGCTCTAATAGCCCAGGATGGACTCACACCACTTCCAGCTCCAACACAGTTTCTGTTGTGGATCTTTTCATGGCAAAGGATGAGTCACTGTGCCTCAGTTTCCCCGTTGTGTCCATTTGGCTCATAAGCTTCTAGATCAGGTACTTGTGTTTCCAAACAGCCTACGGCACCACAGCTGCTGTCTCTGTGGAAAGGTCTTAGCACTGTCCTGGTGGAAACACATTTTGTAGCAGCCCCAGAAGGTGTTTATTTGCCCAGACAAGGCTGATCCCACTGGAAGAAACACCAAATGCTTCCAAGAACTAGATCTAGGT